ACGATAAAAAAAATTCTAATTAAATTTAAAAATCAAATAGAGAAGAATGCATTCTCAGTATGTATTTAAATAAATAATATCAAATAAGAGAAGGACACGGTAGACATGAGGCTATAGAAGAATTCAAATGGGCATTTAAGTGAACGTATTAAAGTTATTGAAATGTATAGCCTGTCTTGCCACTTGTGTTTGTCTCGTGTGAAAAACACTCAATGCGAAATTCGTTTGAACAACAAGTCTTTTACTAATAAAAAAAATCGATATCCTAATTGTTGCGAATAAAAAAAATTGATAATACTTTTCCGACGACGTTTCTAAATTTCTTATTAACATCCCTGGTGAAAATTTTTTTCAGAATTTTTTAATATAATTTTTCAGAATTTCTATATAATTTTATAACTTTCTCATTTTTTGTACGAATTAGAACACTTCTAAAAAAAGCTAGCTTTTTTTCTTAGAATTTTTCATATATTATATTAATTGAAATATTGTAAGCTTTCTAAGATTTTTTATAAGTATAATTTCTGATGAAATGTTATAAAGTCTAAAACATTTAAAACTATTTTTTTTTTAATTGTGGAATGAGAAATCTCAGAATATTTCAGAATTCACTTGTATGAAAAATTCTGAGAGATGTAAACTTTTCGAATATTTCAGAGTATTTCTGAAAAATGTTCCAATTCATCACAAAAATTATAAGAAAAATTTTCACCAGGGATGATTTGAAAAGAAATTGTCAATTTACTCGCAAGTGCTAGCTTTCATCAAGACAAGATTTCTTAAAGAGTATTTCTTGTCTTAAAGAGTCTTATCTTGATTTTCAAGATAAAAAAATTTCGTTTTTCTTATCTTGATTCTTGATATTGTATTTCTTGTCTTGAATTCAAGAATCTTGATATTTTATTTTCTTGATATTTTAAATAGGATCCTTGTTGGTTTTTAACTACTCATATCGTAAGAGATAACAAGAAAATAAGTATAAATTGAATTGTCGAGTCGTCTCGTTTACTATGTTTAAAAATGCGTATATAATGTCTATTATGCACAAATTTATTAATAAAGATTAAAAATATTTCAAATTATCATTTTTAATATCATGAGATTATCCTCCCAAATGTAACTATTTCAGATTATTAGAATCCTAAGATTATTAGATATAATTATTATTATTATTATTACTATATATTTTAATCATTCCTGATTTAATTGACACTATTAGTAGAAGTACGCAAATGTTTATACATAATATACTTTTGCCAGTAATATGGCAATATTGATTTTACATATATTCCTTTACATAAATGTAAAGGTTAATATCTGGTACAACAAATGATGTATCAGTGAGTATAATTTAATTTGATTAGAAACTTCACTTTTTCATTAATTGATTTAAACTCTGCTATTTAGTGGAAATGAATATACATTTCTATATAACTGATGTAAATACCAAT